GCTCTAAATATTTGGCCAAGAGGGCAGAACCAAGAAAAATGGGTGGGAGCTTCAAAAAGGCTAATTTAGGCTTGATATAAAAAAACCCCCCAAAACCCCCTAAACCTTCCTAACCAGTAGAGCCGTTGAAAAGTGGAATGACAGAGAGAGAGGGAGAAGGAGAGAGGAGGAAGAAAGAGAAGATAATCACTTATCTATCACTGTGTATTACTGGAATTCCTTTTGTGTATGGGTAGCGTTAGATTCCTGCTCTCAAATTCTGGGATTCTGTGACTAAATCATAATATTCCAATATAGGTTGTACCCATACACTGAGATCTCTTTGAAAGGGGGAAAATTTCCTTCCCAATGGCTTATTTATTTGTACATTGAAGAATTAATGTAATCATAATTGGTTTGCAGGTTTTATATAATCCAGGCTTATGGAAAATATGTAGCTTTAGAGGAAGCATATATGGCAATATGGATAGCAAGCTGCTAGGTCTCAGATTCTCTTTTCCTCCCCTCTTTCTCTCCTCTCCTCTCCTGATTCTGAGGCCTATGATAGGAATATGGCTCAGATTAAAGTGATACATTTTACTTGGGAGTGGCTTCTGTTCTGTTATTTGAGGATTAACTATTATTCATTTTAAGGTTAGCTGGATTATAGGGTGCATGGAGAGGAGTAAAGTGTAAGAATATTGGAAAGGTAGAGCCAGGTTCAGTTTAGGATGAGCTGCAATAGTAGCTACTGGGGCAACTAGGTGGTGCAGAGATAAGAGCACTGGGCTTGGAAGCAGAAGGACTCGTTTTCATGAGCTCAAATCCAGCCGCAGATACTTACTAGCTGTGTGACTCTGGGCAAGTTTCTTAACTCTGTTTGCCTCGGTTTCCTCATCTGTAAAATGACCTGGAGAAGGAAATAGCTCCGGGTTCTTTGCCAAGAAAACCCCCAAATGGGGTCACAGGCACCATTGAAACAACTGAACAACGAATACTAGCTATTATTATCACATAACAGTCAAGGCATCCAAAGTCTCGTCGGATTATAGATCTAGAAGTGGAAGGGATTTAAAGAAATCATCTAGCCCAGCCTGCTCATTTTACAGATGAGGACGCTAGGGTTCAGAAAGGAACGTTATTCAGTGTCCAATAGGTAGAAAATGGTGACTCTGGGATTTAAGCTCTCATTGGAATTAGAATACCAGTTAGGTACCAGGTTAGCCACCTGGAAGGATACGCATGTGGCTGCTGTAAGTACTGGGTTGATCTTTGCCCACTGCAAGTTCAATGGTTAGGGCCATGGGGCACTCGGTGGTGTGGGACTGGAAAGTGGAAGATCTTCTGTTCTTTGCATGGTTAGTAGATGATTGAAAAGTTATGCAGTGAATGAATGGTACAATACGGTTCATTTGTTGAGGATGGTGTCCACTTTTGCAACAAATATAATTAGAAGCCTCTGTTTTTCTGGGCATCTCTGACCTGCATGCTGTAAAATGAAGATTTTCTACACTGGGTTCAAAATCTGCAGATTTAGTCACCTTGTATAATGTGAAACTGACTGTCTCATGACATGTGTATGGATGGCGGGAGGTTTTCTTACTCTCATGGCTTATAGCCAGTGTCCTGAAAACCTGGGCAGACATATACGTGGTACTCATTGCAGTACATTGAGACCAAAGTTCTGTTCACAAGTACACAGTTTGCAATGCCAGAGGCAAGTCTGATTAAAAGGGAGAGAAGCAAAATAGAAATCATAGAATGAACAGACATAAATTTCAGAAGTGTATGGAAATAGTCACAGCCCCAGGTTCCTCTAGAAGAAGCTCTTCACCAGCCCTGTCTACTCCATTCCTCCTAGACTGCTTCCTGCTGCTAAAAATGATGTGGAACTGGTGATGTTTCTTTCTCTTTTTCCTTCTTCTAGCCTCTGATTATGATTCCATAACATGGATTTAAGGAATCCTTGATTTTTCAGGATATTCAAAGTCATCCTCCATAGAGCCCTGTAGTCAGAGGTGTGTTGGGGGAAAAATATGTGCTCAGGACACAATTTTAAGTTTTGTTAACATTATTAGCCATTATGTTCTTGTCTAGACAGCCAACAAAACAATAAATCAAGCTCTAATTTTGTGGCCTTTGCTGATTTCTGAGCTGTAAACCCTCACCTGTAGTCCAACACTTCCTACTTTACAACCTGGTCATCTCTTTGAACGGCCTTGACAACCACTTGCTAACTACATAGCTTCCCCAGTTCTGAAACCATGATCAAATCAACTCTGCCATTGTTCCTGGTAGGACTGTACCGACCTATTCCCCTAGGGCCCGTTCACCTTAATGCCAGATCCAAAGTGAACCTTCCCTGGCCACAACTCCCCTGATCTGGTCAGGGACCCATCTTTGCTTTTGTAATTGTTTCCCTAGCACATAGTGTAGTGCTTGGCATATAAGTGCTTAAGAAATGCTTTTTTTTTTTAAATTTTGATATAATCTTACTGGCTTAGAATGGCCAAATGTGGGCTCTTCCCTTTGCTTCCTTTAGTTTCCGTCAGTTACCATGTATACCCACAGCCATGTGTATGTATCCCATAGGGTGGACCCTTAATCTCCCCCAGTTGCACAAATGAGAAAGAAGACAAATCAATACTTTAGAAATGCTTCAAGGGGGAGCTGATTTATTTTTCCTAATTTAACATAAACTCTAGTTTTATGTAATACTACTTTCGTGACACCAGATGGCTCTACTTCAACTCAGTTAGAATGCAACATTTTGTTTCTGCTTTTTGTCCTGTCTTAACACAAAGCCATGCCTATGTAGTAAGTGCTTAATAAATGTTGATTAAATTGAATTTTCAGTGTCTAAATTAAATGAAAGAACATGTTAAAGCTTAGTTTATTTCTATTCTCTTTTATTCTTTTTTTTTTTTTAATGGTTTAATGGGCTGGGATGTTTGGTAAATATTTAACAACCTGCTTGGGGGTGGGAGGCATGTGCAGGATACAATTTTGTGTTTAATCTACCTAATTTACATTTCATCCATCATTTCTTAAGTCTAAAAAATCAACAAAACAATAAACTAACCCTTGATTTGTAGCGTTTGCTATTTCTGAGGTGCTTGTATTAAACATTTAACAGTTTGTTCTCCTGAAAGCCATTGAAATCAGCTCCATGGAGCCTTTTATCATGGTAATGGATTCATAGTGAGGAATTTTAAGTGGAAATGAAATTTTTAAAAAAATGTTTTATCTAGTATCTTAGGTATACAGGCATACATTGGAAATATTGCATGTTCTGTTCTAGAATATTGTGACAATAAAATGAGTCACATGAATTTTTTGGTTTCCTGAGTACATATAATAGTTATGTTTACACTATACTGTAGTCTATTAAGTCAGCAATAGTGTTATGTCTAGAAAACAACGTATATATAACTAAAACATCTCGGGCCTTTGGTGAGTTGTAATCTTTTTGCTGATGGAGGCTCTTGCCTCGATGTGGATGGCTGTGTGTTTCAGGGAGTAGGGAGCCCTGAGGAGAGGGAGAGAGATGTAGAATTGTTGGTAGAACAGTCAGAACACACACAACAATTATTAAGTTCAAAGTCTTACGGGCACAGTTTGTGAACCCCCAAAACAATTACAATAGTAACGTCAAAGATCATTGATCAGAGATCATATGATGATAATAATAATAATGAAAATATTTGAAATTTTGTAAGAATTTCCAAAATGTGACATAGAGACAAAGTGTGAATACATGCTGTTGGAAAAATGGCACCGACAGACTTCGATGCATGGTTGCCACAAATCTTCAATTTGTAAAAAATGTAGCCTCTGCAAAGCACAATAAAACAAGGTATGGGCCAAGCATTGAGTAAAGATTTTCACACGTCATTTATGAAGCTAGTTGGGGTCCTACAGAATTACATCAGTATCTTTGGGAACGGATGTTAATGACTTTTTTCAGTCACTCAGTAAACATTTATTAAATGTTTACCATATGCCAGCCATTGTGCTCAGTGCTGGAGACACAAAGCTAGATAAAAACAGTCCCAGCCCTCAAAGAATGTGTACTCTAATGAAGATATAATATAAATAAGTACATACAAGATATATAAATAATGTAGATATAGATATCTACCTGTGTTTCTCTCTCGAGCTTTAAAAGCTAAACAGATATGTGTGTGTGTGTGTGTGTATATATACATATATGTGTATGTGTATGTGTATATATATATATAATGTGTGTATATATACATATGTGTGCATCTATATATATCTATATATCTATCTATATAGATATATATATATACACATATATATATTTATACGTGTGTGTGTGTGTTTGTATTTGATCCTGAAGCTAACAAGGAGTCACTAAAGCTCATTACTCAGGGGGATGATATGGTCATTCTATATATTAGAAAAAATCACCTTGGCCCCTTAGTGGAGGATAGATTGGAATGGACTGGGGGACAAGGCATGGAAAATGATTAGAAGGTTAATGAAATATTCCATGCTAGAGGTGAGGCGGGCATAAACTCCAGTGATTGCTGTGTGAGTGGAGAGATAAGGGCATGTGTACCAGAGATGCTATGAAGATAGAAATGACAGGTGTTTGCAAGGATTGGCTTTATGGGCTGAGTAAGAGTAAGGAATCAAGGATGACATGAAATTTGTGAGCCTTGGCAACTGGAAGAATGGTAGTGCCCTTGACCGTAACAGGGAAATTTAAAAGTGGGAATGATGAGTTCTCTTTTGGGTATGTTGAGTTAAAGATACCTACATGATATCTAGCTTAAGATTTTTAAAAAGTTGTTTTTATAAGCCTTTAATTTTTAAAGTATTTTATGGTATTTCCTTTCCCCAGACAGCATATCATTAAACGTGTGTAGGGATTTCATCTGTTTTTTTTTTCCAGAATGTTTTCATTGATACTGTGGTGCACTGAGTAGGTAATACTTTATTTTTTAAAAAATGGGTTACTGAAAATGTTAACTTTTTTTTTTCCTCCCCCCTAGAATCATTGAGCAAGAGGAATCAGCCAGAGAAGAAGATGATGTTCTGGGGCCTGGGTATACAGAGGATTCAACTGATGTATACAGCTCCCAATTTGAAACCATTCTGGATAATACTTCTTTATACTATAGCGCAGAGTCACTGGAGACTTTATATTCAGAACCTGATAGCTATTTCAGCTTTGAAATGCCTCTCACACCTATGATCCAACAGCGCATCAAGGAAGGCAGTCAGTTCTTAGAGAGGACTTCAGGGCCGCAGCAAGATGTCCTCAGTGTCTCTGCTGATGGTGGGATAATGATGGGCTATCCTGGAGAGATCGCCAATGGTACCAATGATGCTGATGACACCGTCTACAGAAAGGGCACCCCTGGCATGGCGTTTTGGGGAAGGTAACGCTTATCTGTCTGTCTCATATGTATTACAGTGTTTTGTCTCTGTACCATTTTCTCACCAGGAATTTGGGAGATGGGAAGTCAAAGTATATTGTGCCAGTTTCTGATGATATAAATGAGGAAAGAAGATTCTGGGTTTTTGTCAGGAAGAGGGCACATTGAAAAGCTCTTGTCAGAAGGGGGTGTGGAAGGAATACTTCGGTAGCATTGGCAACTTTTTAGAGGATGATAGGGGGGCGGATTGCACTGGGCTGCTGCTTGTAGAGTGGGCATTCAGCAAATATTTATGATGATTATGCAGTAGAGTAGATGTAGTTCTAGATGTGAGACTTGGAATGAATTGTTATTTGTTTAGTCATTTTGAGGTTTTCTTGGCAGTGATACTAGTAGTTTGCCATTTATTTTACAGATGAGGAAACTGAGACAAACAGAGTTAAGTCACTTCCCCAGGGTGGCACAGCTAGTACGTGTCTGAGGCTAGATTTGAACTCAGGAAGATGAGTCTTCCTGATTCCAGGCTCAGTGCTCTGTCCAATGTGCCACCCAGCTGTCCTTTGAATGAATTAAAGTGCCTTTATTAGGTGCTAATTATGTACCAGTCACTGTTTCTGAGCACTGGGAATAGAAATGTAAGAAAGCAAGACAGTTCCTGCCCTCAAGGAGCTGACATTCTAATGAGAGAAGATAACATATAAAATAGAACTAGAAAGGTCATGGGGTGCACATATGGGCATTGTTTGGCAGAGTCTAGAAGGTGGTATGGTAGGCTGGTTCTGGGAAAGATGCTTACTTATCAATGTCCAGGTTTCTAGGGAAAGAGTCAGGGTTCCTGTGGGATGGGGAATGAAGAAGATGGCTAGGGGGCAAGGGGCATGGTTTGGAAATGATTGCAAAGTAGCTTGATGCCCTGGTTCTAGGCAAGATAAAATCTTAAATGATGCCTTTTTAAGTTACCCCTATCTGGCCTCAGACACTTATTAGCTGTTTTACCCTGGGCAAGTCACTCAACCCTGTTTGCCTCCATCTCCTCATCTATCAGATGAGCCTAGAGAAGGAAATGGCAAACTACTCTAGTGTCTTTGCTGAGAAAACCCCAGATGGGGTCAGGAAGAGTCGGACATGACTGAAACAACTGAACAACAACAGCAAATGTTCACAAAGTCGGATAAGTCGAGGAAAGCTTTTGGGGTCTGTCTAGGAGATAAATTGCAAGTTATATAATGGCAATAGCATGTGACAGTGGAAAGGAACTTGGAAAACCATTGAACTTCTGTGGGTGTCAGTTTCCTAATCCCTGAAATGGGGAGGGGGGCTAAATTAGGAGGCCGCTGAATCTCCTTCTAGCTTCTAAATTCTGTGATTCTAAACTTATAAGATTCCTTCCAGCCCTAAAGTTGTAATCTTGCCTCTGACACTAGGTATGTGGCCATTGGCCAGTCACTTAATTTCTCACAGTGTCAACACTTACCTGTGATTTGAACTGAGGTCTGCCAGATACTACATCCAGGATTCTCTTTAACGAGCTCCAGAAAACAGTTCATACTCTGGAAGACCAGTGATTTCATCTGTGTAGGTTCACTAATGTAGATTGCAGCAAAAAAAAAAAAGTCCCTTGGTGGTCAGGCTTCTGGGGATGAGCCTCTGGTTTGGCTAGGTTGGTTCTTGGAAGACAGAAGCAGAAATAGAATCTGTTCCTGGGCAGTACTGAAAGACTTCTCAGCGTGATAGGACCTGCCAGGTCTCTAGTGCCCTTGGCGTGGTCTTTGAGAACCCATTTCTTTATGATGAGGCATTGGAGCAAGTACTAAGTCAAGGAAAATTGTTCACAGTCCCTGCCGAATTGCACGAGGACTGCATGGTCAGCCATCCATTATTTACAGGTAAACGTCCTCCCCTTGAAAAGCCTAATTCTCTGTCTTCTTCCTCCTGAGATTTGTCTCTGTATGCTGCAGATATTTTTTTTTTTTACCATTTTTACTAGAAGGAGCAGAGGGGATGACACTAATGTTCATCAGTTTTTTAAATTGATTCACAATTCTTAATTGTAGGTATTGAACTAAGAGAGGGTGAGTAGAGAGGGAAAACATTTTAAGATGGTTTGAAAAAAAGCAAGGCTTTCTACAGATCAGCTCTGCATCTGAAGACTTTCATTGTAGCTTTCTTAATCAGTCTTGTGCCATAGGGATAACCTTGCATGACCATATTATTTGTAGGCTTATAAATGATGTTTGAAAGGCATTATGGTGCATACGTTGACCTAGCCATACTGCTATTAGGTCTCTATTCTAAAGAGGTCAAGGAAAAAGGAAAAGGTCGTATATGTACAAAAATGCTGATAGCAGCTCTTTTTGTAGTGGCAAAGAATTGGAAAATCGAGAGGAATGCCCATCAGTTGAGAAATGCCTGACAAATTGTGGTATGTGATTGTGATGGAATAACTGTAAGAAACGATGAAGGGGATGGTTTCAGAAAAATCTGGTAAGACTTAGATAAACTGAACCAGAAATAACAGCAATATTTTAGGGATAATCAACTGTGAAAGACTTAGCTACTCGGATCAATACAATAATCCAAGATAATTCCAAAGAACTCATGATGAAAAGTGCTGTCCACATTCAGATAGAGAACTGATGAACTCTGAGTGCTGATTGGAACATTATTTTTTTGCTTTATTTATTTATTTATTTGTTTATTTTTTGCAATATGGGTAATGTGGAAATGTTTCGCATGACTTCGTGTAAAATGGGTATCATATTACTTGCTTTCTCAGTGGCTGGGGAAGGGAGAGAATTTGTAACTGAAAATTTTAAAAAATGAATGTTTAAAAAAACTGCATTTTACAAATTTATGCAATGTAATTATAAAATGATAAGTGTATGTCTTACAGAAAAGAAAAAGAAAGATTTTTTTGGGACAAGCAATAGAAGGCTAGTCATAGAGTCAGGAAGATCTGTGTTCAAGTCCTGAATTTTGACACATTTGAATGTAAGTTTCTTGAGGGAAGGATTGTTTTTATCTTTCTTTGGGTCCCTGGCACTTAGCATAGTGCTTAGCATGTAGGAAATGCTTGGTAAATGCTTGTTGACTAACTTAAAATGTCACTATGTGATGTAGGAAGATACTTCTTAAGGCTGTAAGTTAACAGAAGAGTTTCAGTCAGCTTTGTGGAAGGTGTTTCTGCTCCAGGATTTTCCTAAACTAATGAATTCACAAGTCCAGATCTCTCTCTTCTCTTCTCTCTCCTCCATCCTCCCTCCTCCTTTCACCCTCCCCCCTTCTCCCCCCAGTTCCCTAAACCACAGAAATACAGTTCTTGATGTAGAATTAATAAACAATAACATTTTTAGTGTATGTTTTGGTAGAGGAAATGGAGTTGGATGTTAAGTTCATTTGACCTGCCATGTACAGTTCTCCATGGAACCCATTTTCCAGTCTCCAGTTAGAACCACAGGTCCACTCTCAAAGAGCTTAATCATTTTCACCAAATCTCTCATCCAGTCAACAGGGAAAGTCCAGTAGTCCATGAAAGTCTAGAAAGTCCAGTTGATGGCCATGTCGTTTAATTGGAAAGTGAAAAAGGAAAAGATATTGGAATGGAAAAAGGCAAATAGGTGACTTAGCGGATAAAATACTGGGTGTGGAGTCAGGAGGACCTGAATTCAAATCCAGGCTCAGATACTTACTAGCTTTGTGACCCTGGGCAAGTCACTTGACCTCTTATTTGCCTCAGTTTCCTCAGCTGTAAAATGGGGATAATAATCATACCTACCTTGCAGAGCTGTTATAGCAAATGAGATTTTTTTTTAATTTTTAGGCAATTGGGGTTAAGTGACTTGCCCAGGGTCACACAGCTAGGAAGTGTCAAGTGTTTGGTCTGAGGTTAGATTTGAACTCAGGTTCTCCTGACTTCAGGGCTGGTGCTCTATCCACTGCTCCACCTAGCTGCCCCCAAATGAGATATTTTTTTAAAAAGCACTTTAACATAGTGAGTGTGTGGCCCCCAGTAGGCAAATTAATAACAGCTTATTCCATTCCCTTCCCTACCATATTTCTTTTAGTGCAGTGTTGTCAAACTCAGATAGAAAATGGAGCTGCTAAATCATCCATGAGGATCCCTGTGGGCCACATATTGACTTAGTTTTAAAATTATCTAAGTTTTCTTGTATTTTTATTTATTTTATTAGATATTTCCCAATTACATTTTAATCTGGTTTGGGCCACACTTGGGAGTGTTGTGGGCCAAACGTGGCCCCGTGGGCCACATGTTTGACGCCTCTGTTTCAGTGTGTCTTCTTGGAGTACCTGATAAATATTCATAAGCAGGGTTTGCAAGTTGGTCCCTCCAGTGTGCCGGGTAACCTGGTTTTCTGGGGTGAATGGAGTTGTGTTTAATTAAAGACTGAAGGGTAATTGAGGCGAAGCGCTTCAGCATTGAGTGGTATAGGTAAAATGCATTATTGCTGCAAAGCCATAACAAAAAGTAGTGGTCAGCAGTAGAGCTTTGGGAGGTGAACCAGTCTCCTAGTTAGGTCAGAAAACCAGGAACTTGCCTACACATGCTTCTGTCAATCCATTTAAGAATGTTCCATAGAATCTCAGACTTGAAAGGGACCTTAAAGGTCATGAAGTGCAACTGTTCACCCAATATAGGGATCCTTTCAACAACACCCCTGACAGATGGTCATTCAGCCTCCCAGTGAATTCCTTTAGCAGTGGGTAGCTTAACTACTTTTAGAGCAGTCTAAGGGTTGTTTTTTTTTCCTTTGGAAGTGTTGGTAATTTTTCCAAGAGTTTTGATAATTAATTAATTTCCTAAAGTGTATATAGGGTTTTGAATATCTGGAAGCAGAACATGAAAATTGAACCAAGGGCACAGTTTAAAGCTGCCAAAATATTTGAAAACTGGAATCTCAATCTCTCTTTTTTCTCTCTCTTCTCTTTTTCTCTCTCTTTTCTCTCTTTCTCTCTCATACACACACACACACACACACACACAC